TATATGATTTCGATATACTCACGAAAGAGAACACAAATCAACTTTCATCTTTCAAAATAGCCAAGCGTGCCTCGCTCAAAATTAGTGCCAAAGTCAACCCACAACTCAATTTTTCCTAGTTTTCCAAAACATATTTTCCTCAAAATCAAGGAAAATATTTTATTTAAAGGAAGTAGAATTTTATTTTACAGGGCACTCACTCTCTCTTTCTCTCTCTTATCTATCCCTCTTTCTTCTTTACCTCTCAAAAAGTCTATTTCACTTGCCGCACATTTTGGCTATCATCTTCCCAATCGAGCAGAAGGGAGAGCCGCAATATCGAGAGTCACATGTTCGTTATAAAGGGATATATCTAAGATCGAATTTGAGCTTTCGTCCATTTGCGAAGGGATTTTGTTGGCAGCGATAGTTGCTAAGGTTGGGTTAGTGGTGCCAAGGATGTTTGATTGGTGGTTGATCTAGAAACATCACCATTGTGGTCGTTGGACAACTATAGATTAGAAGGTTGCTGCGACAGAAAGGATGAAGTGAGATGAGAAGAATATGACAAGGTTACTAGGCCCAATCATAAAATTAGTGGTCGTGACAAGTAAATTGTGTGATTTATGACAAATAAATCATTTGTGACCTATTATTTACGTGATTTGTAACTTAATAAGTGACCGTTACGTGATTTGTGATTTAGTATGTAATTCTGACCCATAAAATTATGTGGTATTTGATTGTGACCCCATTTTTAATTTCAATTTATAGGTCACAACATTTGTCAGTGTTAGAGATTACAGGAATATATCACCACATTTTTGAAATTTTTTTTTTTACAGCTTTGTTAAATTTGAAATTATATTCATAAAGTTATAAACTACTGTAGTTATGAAATTTTACCTCTATTATTCATATGTTTTTGAATGTTAAAAGAATATAGGAACATAACTATCAGTGTTTAAGATTACGTTTGCAAAATAATTAAATTTTGAGAAAGCTTTCACAAAAAATAAATAAATCATATTTTACGATTTTTTGAAAAAGGCAAAAAAGAAATTGATATTAATTGATTTATATAAGATTAATGAGTATGACCTTGGTGGATATACAATGACAATGGGATAGATTTTCTCTTTAACCATATTTTGACATAAAATTCTGCAAGACAATTATTTTATCTCCATATTCATCCATGTGACCTTTTGTGAAATGAACGCAGTGTAATTGTGGCTCCATTTGTTACGATTTCCTTGACCTTTTCTATCACAAGATTCACAAAAATCGATTTGCATCAAAATGTGGAATGTCTCAACGAACAAACAACATGAAAAATTTGAAATTATTTTTATGCGACATCACTTTCTATCTGACTTCATATTCTCTAGAAAGTTGTGACAAATATTAATAAAGTTGATATAGTTTGTTGTGAGTTAGTTCCTAAAATGATGTCAAATGTATAAAAATTGTGACCTCGAACACATTGGGCCAAGATATCCCCGTTAGCTTAATTTGTGACCTCAGTTGTATATAGCATTATGAACTGTGACATTCTTGTCTTTGTGATTTTTTCACTTGAAAGTTGTGAGAAATATGTGGAAGATTGTCTTTGTGATTTTCTTTCAAGATACAGAAAGATTTTAGCATATATTTCGAAATGAAGAAGAAGAATATGGATGAAATTCTTAAACATAAGTATGAAATTATTCTCATCAAACTAGAGCAAATATGGTAAAGATGGAATGTTTCTCTTTCCACCCGAATATAAAGAAAGAAATGCATGAAATTAGTAATATTCAAATTTTGAATGATAAACATAAGATTATAGAGATTCGTAAAAATGGAAAATAAAATTCCAAAATATATTTAAATTGGTTTTTATAATAATACTTGACTTGTGAATAAAAAAAAGTATTACCTAATTTATATATATATACACTTGAAAGTTATGACAAATATGTGGAGGATTGTCTTCGTGACTTTCTTTCAAGATACAAAAAGATCTTATCATATGTTTCGAATGTTGAGAAATTATATAATTTGTCATGATGTGCCGACATATGTAATTAACCGTGGATAAATGCTATCTTAAAGTTAAGCCCAAAATTAAAGTGATCTAATGAGGAATTAAGTAATTGAGCTTTAAGCATCTAATTAAAGTGTGAGCCGGATTATATGTGTAGAGATTGGATCCATTAGGGTTTGTATT